AAAGTCTACATGACTAGGAAAAATACAGCTCTGATAGTGCATGTGGAATGAATGTCTCTGGATTTTGGATATGATAGCATTTTGTGCACTGCTATGTAGTACCTGTCCCGTTTCTTCTGCCGTCCTCTGCGCACCTATGCAGAGGTTATTTTGTCGGCTGTCTACTTCCTGTTTGTCCTCAGTGACTCTTACTTTAAACATTGTTTCCCGAGTCTCAAACTGGCACTTCTGAACTATAAAAAGCAGCTACTGGAGTTAAAGGAGTAGCATTTTTTCCTTGTAGGTCATGTAATAGGTCCTTAGATTCTGGAGTAGGTGTTAGATTTGGACTGGAAAAGAAGACTGTTTACTTTCCAGCAGTCTTAATTCATGGCTGAGCAGTAGAGATGTAGGTTAGAACACTTGTGGGAATACTTTTTTTCCAAACTTTTTCTTGCTGTTAAAGGTACCAGGTGGATTCTTTTCTTCATGCAGAATAAAGCGCCAGTTGACCAAAAAGAGCTTTGGCTCGATTAGCTTATGGATGAATGGGGAAGGTTGATAACTTGGCAGTTTTGCCAAGTCAGCTACGCTTTGCTGACTGGAGGCAGTCTAAGACTTGTTGGAAATGTAAATTCAATGGCATTTTGCTGAGCAGAACATGAGGAGGCCAGTGCCAGACTGGGCTGAGCAGCTGGGACAGGGGTTGAGGGAGGAAACTGCTGGTACTGGTGAGGGGACCATCATCATCCCACCTTTGTGCTCGTGGTCACAGTGCTCTGACAGGAGACCAGGAAGTCCCTTTGCTTAGGGCATGGCTTAGTGGTATTCCCAAAGGTATTCAGAGACTGGGTTTGCCTAATGTTCCCTGGAAGTTTGTCCCACAGGTCCATCCCCTTGAATCCAGAATGATTCATTTGCCTCCATCTCCCTGCCCCACCCGAGTGACCTGCACTGTCCTAGAAGCCCAACTCTTTCATTGATTGACACGTGGTCTATAACATAATTAGGATGTAATCCATTGATTACTTTGATAATTAGAATCAAAACTGTAAGCTGATGTTGGAAGCTGGCTTGCAGGGAACTGTAGCAGACATTGTATAACAAGATCCCGGGAGAGGAGAGATGACGCAGAGCTCTCTGTTTAGGGCAGCAGCACGCTGAACTATGTATAGGTTCAAGCTCATCGTGCCTGAACAAAACTGTGTGTGGTTTTTTTTTTCCTGCAGTCTAATCTGCAAAACTTCATTTTCATGTCCTACCTGTAGCCAGCAATTTTTTGTGTTTATCTGAGGAATTTAGAAAGTCATTCAATCATTACAGATGCCTACTTATTGTGAAGCGGGTTAGACCTTCCAAACTTTTGCCTTCCAATTCTGTGTCAAAGGGGAGGAAAAAAAGGATTTTTATGGTGTGCCATTAGAAGCTGCCCATTTGCCGAGTTAAAGTTACTCCTAAGGAGGTAAAAGTTATTGAGACTTCCTCTTGCATACTTTAAATTGCTGATTGCCGCAGTAACACACAGTTTTTACACCCTGGAGTGTAACTGTTTTTCATAAAATTATCTGTAGCAATGCTACCTTGTGTTATGACCCTGCCTGTACTTGCAAGCTGAGCAGCCTCGAGCTTAGGTACCGTGTGGAAAGTCCACCTCTGGATTTCTGGGTAGGAGCTCAGGTCTGAGTTAGGATTTGGAGCAGTTCAAGAAGTTGGTGTAGCTGCTGCTGTCTCTGATGGAGGATAGAACAGTGCTGCCTCCCTTCTGCCTTTGCACTCAGGAGCTTTGCCTTCCTGATCTGCTTCAATTGAACTGATGTTACTTTTACTGCTGCTTCCTATAGTATATTTTTTGTACCCAGAGCTGATGCAAAGGACAAAGGTAGAGGTTCTTTAATAGTCTTACAGGTCTGATTTAGGAACCTACTGCTCCCAAATATTTTCAGCTTTCTTCTGTTAAGGATTTAAGGATTTTCAAGATTGTTCAGCAGCAATACTACTTGTCTGTCTCCTCTCAACAGAATCCCTTCCTTTCCCTTGGTTCATATTTGTGTTTTGCACCTTGGACATGATCTCCAGGGCACACCTATTTCTTGTGTTGGCATCACAAGCCAACCCTTGCCAAACTTACTCAAATTCAGTCCCCACATGTATACAACTTGTATCTTGGCTACTTTGTCTAGGCAGTCACAAACTGTTCACTTTTGATGTGGCTGAATGTCCCAGAGAATGCAGTGGCGATGTCAGGGTTTGATTTCAGGGACGTTGCAGCCAAACACGAAGGCAGGTGTAGTTGAGCTATGTTTGGTAAATCCCACTACTCTGTAACCAGACAGTGGGATGATTACCTGCCTTGTGTTAAGATGTCTTTTAGCATACATGCAGGAAGCTTTACAGCTGTAACTGAAGGCAACACGTGGAGGATAATTTAATTTCTGCCTTTGCCCTTTTAGGACACTGTATTATGGATTTTGTGGTAGAAACATCACTTTAGCAGGAGTGAGCTCACCATCACCTGTCTCTGCTGTTCTTCTGACTTAGATTCTGTTGCATGTGCTTGATTTAATTGGTGACTGGTGGAGAAGAAGACGGGCGATCTCGCGTTGCCCACTGCTCCTTGAAGGGTTTCTGTAAGCTAACGTGCTGTACTTATTTTGTTCTGATGCTCTTGCAAGCTGATGAACTTTTTGTGAAATTGTGATAAAAGCCACTGTGACTTCTCCAGAGATCTGTCTTTGTCTTGATCTGTGCTGTGTGTTGCACAGTGTGAAATATTTTGTGCTATTTTGGAAGACCTGTGAGCTCTTTATAAATGTGTGTTTGATCATATGTATTTTATATGTATTTACAGGTTGCCCAGAGAGGCAGTGGAGACCCCATCCCTGGAGATATTCAAGGTCAGGCTGATGGGGCTCTGAGCAACCTGATCAATGTCCCTGGTGGGGGACCCTCCCTGGGGGTGGACTGGATGATCTTTAAAGGTCCCTTCCAACCCAATACATTCTGTGACTCTACAAGTACTGTGGTTTGTTGCTTGTCATGTGCAATGTCAGAGCGCTGCCCACCCTACAGAATGTTTACAGGGTTGGAATGACTTCCTTTGCTTGGAGAAGACTCATGCTGACTTGTGCTTTCTTTAAGCATTATGACCAGAGTTACAGTGGGTTTTAGCTGTTCATATCACTTCACACTGAAAGGTCAGTTCTTCATCCTTGGATCATATGCAAACTTAGCTTTTTTTGACTTGTGTGCTTTCCCCTCCCCTTTTTTTCTTAGTTAAAAAAAATCTCTCATACGCTTTGTTTTCACACGGAACAAAGTACTTCTCAAATGTAAGAAAAACCTGATATTCAGCACTTTTTGTATGAGTTAACCAAAAAGTTAATAAAACATTCAGGGCTTCACGGCAAGCTGTAACCGGTTACAGATGTCTTTCTACTGTCTTCCAGGAATGGATAGTAGATGTCTATTAACGTACATTGCATAGTATGTAAGGCACAGAATGTACATACATTGACATTTTCAGTGTAATTAAACCTCCTTTTTCTGTCATTTGCTGCATGCCTGGAGATACTTAGCACCCTGGCTCATTTCTTCTCTATTTCCAATTTTCTCCTGTAGGAAGTTTTTCGAGCTGGTGGCAATATTGACTTAATGGTCACTGTTCCCATCTGCTCGTTCTCACTGCATGGTTTGTGCCTGTACAATTGTTCATTGGCACATGAAGAGCTGGAGAAGGGAGCAGATATGTCTGAAATTGCCGTGTTTGTCGTGAGGGGTTTTTTTGGAGTTTGGATTTTTCTGTTGTTGTTGTTCTCTCATCCTTCTCACTGTGCACCCATAATCAGCTGAACACGTATAGGGCTGAAAACAATTTTCCATATGTGGTACCTGAGAGAAATGTGAATTGAATATCACATGAAATCTGCGTGCTGGTCTCATAGATGTAAGTTGCTGTTGCTCAGAGAAAGTGAGACTATTTTACAGCAAGGTAAGAGGCTTTTCCCGAGGCAGGGAAAATGCTAGAATGCTTCTTCCTCTATTTTGATACAGGGTGTGTTGTATCTGAGGTGCCTTCATGCATGTGAAGGGATGGGGTTTCAGGGAGGATAGTCATGAGAAGCGATTTGGAGTTGTTCCAGATGCAACAGCCTCTCAAGTGGATTACAGTGAAGTACAAAGGTTGTTTTTATAGTGTTTTTTTCAGCTGGCAGTGACACAGGTTGTATTACGAAAGCTCCTAAGTTATGTGCGTTCCTAAATCCAATTTCTCAAAAGTGACTTGGCATCTTTAATTACGTAGGCATTCTTGGTGATTGCATCTACTTGTATAATGTAGATAAGTCTCAGTGTGATGTGTGCTGGCATCCGGAGGACCTTTTTATGAATGAGCAGAACAGGGGGGGTTCTGGTAATTATGAGCTGATTAGGATCTTTCAGTTAGTATTTACTTATGTATCTTATATAAACCTCCATTTCATCACGTTGACGCTCTTTTGTGATACTGCGTATGATATGTCCATTCATGGGTAATCATATTAAAAAGTATTGAAGATGGAAAGAAATACATCACTGTTTTCACTTGAAAGCTGAAATGCCTGGAGGGCTAACATCACAGAGCTGTACTTTTCATACTGTTAGCAGGTTTGAAGTGCTCATTCCAAACTCAGCAAGCAGCAGATTTGGGGCACACGCTTTTCTGATAAGTGTGCAAACAGCTTGCAGCGTGCCACTTAAATGTGGCTGGGTTTGGATTTCACAAATAGCATTTTCAGTAAGATCCTAACATTTGTATATTTTCTCAGCATTGAAAGGATTATAATGCCAGGATTATATCAGTGTCGGTTTAGCTTTCTGTAAGAAGCCCTTTTACTTTTGCTTCCTGAATGAGATCAGTCTCATTCAACATTGCAGCCAGCAGTCAGTTTGTCATTGTGGGAATACAATATTGAACTTGTCTGATCCTCAAGACTTCACAGAGAAGGCATTTACTAAAGCATGTGCTAAGAACAGAGAGAAGAATAATGGTAAACCAAATTACTGAAGATGGCAAAGAGCTTTTACTAAAGGGTAAGTACTTCATGTTGATATTGATACCTATTATAGTGTTCTGAAACTATCAGTGTAACTTAACTGAAGAATAAAGTAGTTTCGCTTCTGAAGCACAGGATTATTAAATTGCTAAATGTTTTGAGTTGTGTAGTACCAGTCAACTTGACTGGTAAAGCTGTTCTCTAGTCTCGTTTTGCAAAGTCCAGTACAAGTAACTTCACACATGTTTATCTAAGGTTGTGTCAAAGATCTGTGCTGAATTGTGCACTTAATTCTGTGCCTTGTTGCAGCCTAACAGTTGCATAGGTTTTTGCCTGGAAAAGCTTTGGCTGTTTCTTTCATGTAGAACACAAACAAATGCAGTTTTTAGAACTCTGAACTGTTTCAGAGAAAACATATTATCAACAGTACAGCTTTTTGATTTACTTTTTTTGGTAAAACAGTGCTTTGTCTATGTCACTTATGTAGATGCCAGAGCTGATTATAAATATGTATGTGGTCTCTTCAGTGTGGTATGTAAGGATGTTTAAGAAGCACACCTTTGCTTCTTGGGTAAAATTCACTGAACACGAAACTTCAACAATAGTGTCAGTTTAACAGTGAGAGAAGTAAAGCAATGTGTTAGTCTTAAAATGGTGAATGAACACATATTCTTAAAATGCAGATTAATGTCAATAGTTTGGCCTTTAAGCTGCAGTTTCTGATGAAAGCGTGTCCAGGTCTGGCACAGGAGAGTTCAGTGTCGTCAGTGTAACTGATGGTTTAGCTGTGTTTAAAGTACAGAGGATCTCTTTGCTGCCTGAAAGCTGTCCAGGTAAAGATCTGTCCTTTCATTCCGCTTTCTTTTCCTCTCGTACAGCCTCATTGTTGCGTGGGTTGTTATCTAGTGCAACTTTGGCCTTTGTTTTCATAAAATACTGGGTCAGCCTGGAATGTGCAGCTCATGCTTTCTGCCACTTTCAGTGAAAAAGACTTGGTAGCCCAAGGTCTTAAGTGAAGGCGTATTAACAGATTTCAGTTAATTATTTCATTAGCAGTGTCTAGTCTGTAGTGTGAAGGAGTTTTGTCTAACTACATGCAATGCTGTTTATTTCCCATGTCTGCAAGTTCTGATGGAAATGTAATACTCCTAATAAAAAACAAACAAAACAACAAACACCTAAAATACCCCACCCCAACAACTTAGTGTAAGCTTCCAAAATATTTTGAGAACAGCTGTGGGTTGTTTTTTTCCTGAGCTTGAACAGTCGCTATCAATCTTTTGCTACTGCAAAATAACAAAATTCTCATTTTCAGTTTTGAAAAACCTGAAAATTAAATCTTAAAACATTACTTTCTAGTTTTGCATGAAAAAAGTGCTTTGGATAATATCGACTGCTTTGTAGCTGAAATGGAAAAGAAGTGTTCCTCGTGATCAGATTTGTGATGTCAGCTGCCTCTTCTGCTGCTACAGATGAGTTTGTAATCAGAATTTTAACTTTGAGATGCTTCGTGTTTCTGGCTAGCTATGTGTTGTCCATGGAGAAACAAACTTTTCTAATAGGCTGTGTTTTATTAATGATTATTATTTTATTATTTGTAAATGAGATCTCTACTTTGGACTGTTACTGACGTTGGATTAGGATATACTAGGAGATATTAGCTCTTATTCTGCCTCAGAAATTAAATTACATTGAGGAGAAGAGTGCTGGGCTTTCCTTTGAGCTGGTTTTCTAGTAAATATCTGCTGTTTGTCAGTTATGAAAAGGTAAATAAACCAGTGGCTTTCTTTCTTTGTCAAGCCTAACATTTCAGTTCTCACTCTGATTTGCGCTAAAAATCTTTGAGGAAATTTAGCCCCTCAGTTAAGATTTGGCTCCTGCTATTTCAGGCGAGGAGGATTATGGCAACTCTGCATGCCATCACCACAGGTCATAGCCATACCTGGAGCCAAGCCTTTCTGAGAGTCTGTGTATTCCTCGTGAGATGCTGTGATGGGAGCGCTGATGTGTGTGCCTCTGCCAACTTTCCTTTGGTTAGCTCACATACGGGCCTGTGAAAGCAGAGTGGCATGTTTGTGATCAGTGTGCAGCCCCCTTGGGATTTTTTTTTTAAATGTTTTAAGCCTTACTGCAGCCTAATCAGCATTACTGTATTTTCACTGCTTCTGTGATCTGTGCTGCCCAGACTAAACCTGGTTGCACTATGTCCATCTGTGCTTTCAGCATGCTTCAACTTGTCAGGTAGACAGAGCCTCTGTGAGAACTAGGTGAGAGTCTCTCTGAGTCAGTCATGTCCAGATGGAAAGTTGTGAAGTTGTTTTAAGATGTACTTACTTCCACTTATTTTGTTGACTTGATTACCTTAATGACTGAAAAAACGCACCAAAAAAACCAGTTGTTTAGTGTCTTGCTGCTTATGTATTCAGTGTACAATACTTCTTTAAGCTGCAGTATTTTTGTTTGAGATAATAATTTTTTCTTTCACTTTCACTTTCTGTAGTGGTTACTTTTTGTAAATTTCAAAAAAAAAGTATTCCTTGGATTGGTCCTTTCCTAAGGAGACACTCCTGGAAATCTCTTTGGTTTGTATTGGCTGAAAGAGCAGGGAGTGAAGAGTTACAGGGAAAAGAAAGGCATTTCTTTCGCAAGCAGAGTGTAGTGGGAGTCACAGGTCCGACAACTTTATTGTTTGTTTGTTTCCCCTCCACAGCTCATTTTCTACTATAGTGCCCTTACATTTTTTTTAAGTTACTACTTTTTACAAAAAAAGCGCTACTGATCTTCTGTTACATTTTCAGACATTGTTCATTGCCTATGTGAATGCTTTGCTCTTGCTGTACCCTATGTTAGGTTTTAATTTAAAGACATAAGAAGTCTGAAGAATGCACAGTCTAAATGTTCCAAATACAATAATGGTAAAGGCGTCGTGTGTTGTAGCTGTGACCCTACTTGTGAGTTTTAATTTGAGGTAACTTTTAATTCTATTTTAATGAAAACAGAGGAGTAGAAATACAAATACTCTCAAATACCTTGAGAGTAACGCCTCTGATATTGGTAACAGTGCGTAACTTTAGATACTAAAAAGAAACAGCTTCGATTGACCAAACAAGTTTATTCCCTATGTTTTGTTGTCAAGGGATATCTGTCTTTCTGCTCTTACCAAAACCTGCTTCTTTTTTTCTTTGCAGGTCATGGCAACCATAAAGAAAACAGTCCTTTTCTGAACAGTACCGAAGCTAACAAGGGAAGTGATTACTATGACAGAAATCTGGCCTTGTTTGAGGTAATTTCTAACTGTTTTTCATAATTCTAATGTGATTTGCGATCTTCCAAAATGGGAGGTATTAAGTAGAAGACAGAGCATTGCAAAGTTCCAGGCAGTGGGTCAGTACCTAACTCTCACTGCATCACAAATCTAAGAGCCTTTGGTGTGTTTTAGGGGTAATATCTACTAAGAAGCAAAATACAATGGTACCAGAGGTGACCTGAATAATTTAAATAGTGAAACTGTGACACTGTGGGCTAATTGTTGTGAAAATTAGCACTGGCTGATTTACCACGTTAAAAGAAGGACCATGTTATTCTGCAGGAAAATGCCTAAATTCAGGTACTCAAGTTATCCCAAGTATCCTGTCTTATGACTGTAGTATATCAGTAATAGGGATTTCTCTCTCACATTCTTTTTTGTGGTTGTATCTGTTGTCCAAGGTGCCAGTAGGCAGAGAGATGCTGTGTGATGGATAAAGCTCAGATATTGTGACTGCTTGGGACTGTGAGGTAGTGACTTTCCATATGGAAGACCAGACTCTCCTTTGGGCAGCCAGTTGGAGCCACACCAAGTCCAGCAGAATCCTCCTCCACATCCTCACCTCTCTGGCACTGTATGAAGTGCAAGCACATAGTGGTGCACTAAGACCAAGTTTCTAAAAACGGTTTTCATTCAGGTGCTGGGGAGTGGTGTCCAGAGTCTTTGCATGGCTCTGCAGCTGCTCTCCAGCTGGGTTACAGCTTCACAGCAATACTGGCAGCGTGTACCTTTTGTTGCCCATTCTGGGAACTCGGTGTGGGGCAGCCCGAGCTGGCTCTGCACCCCATCAGGTTGGCGCCTGCAGAGCTCAGCTGCATGGCATCCAGCCTGGACAAATAGCACTGATTTGCTGCTAGATAGGAACTCACCATGGAAATGCAGCAACCGTGTTTGCAGGCAGTGTGCTTGAGCTAGAAGACTGAAGCATGCTCCCAGCTGTGGAGTCTCTTCCCTCCAAGGCACGGTAATTTTGTGATCAGCATAAACCCACTTGCATATTGTGAAGAGTTGGCACTTAGGTCGTAGCTGCTGCTGGTCACACACCTGCCTTTTTGTTAGGGTATGACACAGTACCACACCAGGGTGCAGGCTCTTGCTGTGGTACTAAAGAGGAGGAGGAGGAGCAGAGAGCTTCCCAAAGGCTGTGCTGCTCAGCTGAACAGGCAGCGTGTGTTGCCTCAAGCTCTGGAAGGGATTGTAATCAGGTGAACTGCAGATGAGATCAGAGGAAAGAATAAGAAAAGGGACGTTTGAGGTCAGTTTCTGCCATCAGGTACAAAGCACATAGTGCTACTGATCCTCCCAGAAACTGTGTGAGATGATACATGAAGATGTGAGAAAAATCCAAACAGTGAAATGTATTTGAATTGGTTTTTATTTCCTGTGTAGAAAGTTGTTTCTCTTTACCACTCATTACTTGCTGTGTGATTAGACATGTAAGACATTTTAATTTCAGAGAGAAAGGGAAAGGGTATGATTTGTTCTGATTTTTGTTTTCTTTTTATTTTTTCTCCTTGAACTTACTTTCATAAACAGAAGGTGGATGGGATAAATGTAAAGGTGTGAGGCCTTCGTACATATAGCTTCTGGAATTTTTATGTAGACCCACATCAATTAGATTCTGGTGTTTGAAAAATGTAAAAAAAAAATAAATAAATCAGAGAGCATGCATGCCTGCAATGACTGGAGTTTAATCACCAAATCTCTGATTTATTTGGCAACTTGACCTTTTGAAAAGTATATCTGTTGATGTAAGCTGACATTAGAGAGACATGCGAAGTACACGTCCATTTTCTTATGGTCCCAAGGCTCAGACTTCCTCTTTATTGCTGTAATTCATGCTTTTCAGCACCTAAGGAGAAGGGTGGAGACCCATTGGCAAGCCTTTTCCTGTCAGAATTGCTCTGCTTTCAGAAAGTGAAATCCTCTCATCGGTGGTTCAGGCACCATGAAATATTCTGTCATTCCCTCAGTGATTTTCCTGGTGTGTTCCCTGACAGCTTCAGGCATGCCAAGGAAGGCATGACCCAAGCTGCCCTTTATAAACGCTGTGAATTGCAGAAGTTAACTACCTGTCTTCTTCCACAGGAAGAACTCGATATACGACCAAAAGTGTCATCTCTGCTTGGCAAGTTGGTCAACTACACAAATCTTACCCAAGGTGTTAAGGAACATGAAGAAGCAGAAAGTACTGATGGTTCCAAGAAGAAAGTATCAAAAGTAAGTAAAGATTCTCTCCATGCCCAGCTGATGAATGGGATGATTCTTTATGTGGTTTTTGAGGACCTGGACTCTCTTTGGCAGGAGCCATGGCAGTGTTGCAGAGAAATAACATAGAACTCTGTAGGTGACCAAAGTGTTGTAGTGGTTAAGCACTGTGCATTACAGTGCGGTTACCTACACTTGGTATGGATTTAGATAAGTAGGTTAGGCTTTTAGTGGTGACTTGAATAAACAACAAAACAAAAATCCCATCTTTTTCCTAGTGCTGTTTTAGCTACCCAGCGGTATCTGACACATCTGTGCAAGCCTGGTAGGTATGACACAAGACACACCCTTCTGGAATGGTGGGTGGAGGTCAGATTGGACACGGGGGCAGCTCAAGTGTCCTTGTGGTGTAGTCACTTAGGCAACTGAATTCTGCCCCAAGGGATCTGCATTTAGATGGCCAGCCCATTTGAGCTGGCCTTGTAGTAACCTGGTAGAAGGTGGGGTTTGATCGTTGGTAGTTAGATTTCTATCAGGAGGACTATGTATGTGTAATTGTCAGCCTCTAACTATCAAAGCAGATTGATTATTACCCTAGCAAAGATGGAATGGAATGGAAGGGGATATAGTCCTTACTATTTTGAGACAGTTCTGATCACTTTTGTTGTTTATATCCTTATTGATTGCCTGACCAGACTACCAAGGCAAGACGCAGCCTGATCTGAAAGCTAGTCACTCACTTCCCCGTTGGAAAAATAGCTGGGAGAATTTGGTGATGGGTTTGCAGTGCAGTTGGTTAAAGCAAATGGAGTGTATCTTCATAAGGTAAAAATGGGGCAAATAACAGGAAATTGAGAAGTTGTTTTAAATCCCTGGCAGAGTAGCATGTAAGGTTTGGTGTTAATATTTCTACATCTAGATATGATTTATGTAAACACTTGTGTATTTTCAAACTGTTTACTACCATACAAAAGAACTGTCCTTGTTAAAGCCATGTTTCTATGGTAAAATAGAGTTTGGGCTTAATACCTGGGTTGTCCTGAATTATTCCTTCCTGTGTCCCAAAAATGTGTGTTTGCAGACTTCTCAGATGTTTTTTGTTGAATGGATTGGGTAACCACTCCAAAAGTGACAATATCATCCTGTGTTAATATCGCAGTGTTTTCTGTGTAAACACTGCAATTTCCTTAAGTGAATCTTTGCCTAGTATGTCTGTCTCTAAGGTAAATTACATCAGCTGCAATATCATAACTGTAGTTTGGCTTTCTTCTCCCTCTCTTGCCATCAGCAATATGAAAGTTTAAACTTACTGTAGAATATAAGAAGGCCAAATAATAACTTGGCCAATAATTCAACCATTAAGAACAGGAAATTCAAAAGCAGTGACTGTACTATGCTATGGATTGAAGGTATACGGAAACTGTGCAATGGGATTCTTCTACACATTTGTTTTTAATCATCTTTGAGGTATAAATCCATGTGCTGCTGATACCTTATTGCTCCCATTTGAGCATTAGTACAGAAGTGTGAATATCCACCCCGGCGTGAAAGCAGGTTCTGTTTTAAGTGCCAGCATTGTTAACTGACTCACTGCTGAACGCTGTACTGGGTGCACCCAGCCAGTGTGACAGAAGGTAAGCTGCCTGTCCTGATGTCTCACTGACTGGAATTGGCATCTCATGGATAAGAACTGAAGCAAGGATGGGGAGCAGATTCTAGGTCTGGTATTCAAACACTGAATGAAGAAAGCAGTCTGTTCAGTAAGTGAATATGTAGTTCTTTATCCGAGCAAGTAAGACAGGTGTCTTAGTGAATACCTTTTTGTGACCTAGCACACCTCGACCCGCCAAATCATATCCATTCAATGATAAATAAATCCAACCCCAAAACAAACCATAAAAAACCCCAAACCAACAAAAAAACCCGACAGAAACAACAAAAAGAGACAAAGCAGTTTTCTGCACATGAAATGGTCACGTCTCTGAGGGATGGGTATCAAAGAAATGAGATCTCTTCCAAAGTTTAAGCTGAAAGGACTAGAGAATTATGTGCTTTAGCTTGTGGAGCCCCTGCTTTCTGAAGTGACAAGACCTAAAGAGACCTGAACGTTTCTGCAAGCTCTGAAAAATATATTATATGGCTATCTTCTTTCTAAATTCTTAGAATAATTGCAGCAGAGTTTGTGGAAGATGGAAAATAAGATCAGGACAATTTCGCTGCAAAACAGCTTAATATAAACTTACTACCCTGTTTCAACATTCCCATTAGATATTTTTGGTAGTAGCATTCTGTGTTAGATACACATCAGATAAAATTGACACTACCTCTTGTAATAGGGTAGAAATTGGGTTGCTTTTTATTTTTTCTAAATACAGTCTTTTATTAAAGCACTAAAAAGTCACAGCACTATAAAAATATCCCCTTCTCATGATGGAAAAAGTTAGATTGGCTGTTTTGGTTCACATATCTTTAATACGGCAGTTCATTTCTGTGTTGCAGTCTGTCCTCGTGCTGCAGAGCAACCGCAAGAGCTGTCATAACTCATCAGTGCCCTGAGCCCTGCAGCCAAATGCTTTGGTAACCCATCACGCTGTCACAGTGGAAATAGTGTCCTTCAGACTCAGATCAATATTTGCATCAATTATGTGTCTGCAGCTGATCAGAGTGAATGGGAACATGATCTGCATCACTGAAATTGAGACTATTTTCCAGATTTTTCTGTCCCTTTTTGGTTGGAACCAAAACAACGTTCTTCAAAATGTCCTTGTGTTTTATTTCCTTTATGCAGTATGAGGTGTTTAATTTTTTTCATTTGGAAGCTGTTGAGCATAATACCCAATACCCTTCCTATTTCTGATTGCATTCTGTTGAGACTTCGGCACTGGTTTAGTGTCACTTACTGATTATGAGATGCTATTAAAAAGGGTCATATCACTGTGGATAACTGGTGTTAAATATTTCTGAGTACAAGCTGGTTCAAGTCGTGTTTGTGAATCATTCTTTCATACCAGTATTTTTTATTCCACAGGGTAAGAAAACCCATAGTAAACTCTTATGCCCGAGGTACACTTAGTAATACTGTGGGTTGGGTTTTGTCTGTGGGCAGACACTTAGGCATTTCCTAGTCTGCTCTTCTGTACTCTCATAACTGTAAAACTAATGCACAATTCCTCTGTGGCTGACATTAGCCTGTAAATTGATACGCTTAAGAGGCTGCTTAAGGGTGGGGAAGAAGATGAGGAGCAGCAGAGCAAAGCTGCAGGGACCACTTAGAGCAGAAAACAGGAAAGAGCTGAGCTAAGGTGAATTCTTAGGCAAAGGAAGCAGGTGTTGGGAGATGTGTAAAGGGCAGGCTGAAAACTCACCTGCTCTGACAGTGCTTGGGAAGCTGTTATACAGAATATGTAACAACTGTGCTCTGTTTGCTGCTTCTGCATGGGAGCAATAGGTTGGGCTTCTTTCCTTTCCCTAGTTGCCAGTTTTAACAAACCCGTATAAACTCCTTTACCTCTGAGATGCCCTCACATCCGATAAATTCACTTGATGCTGGTTGTTGGGTTCAGAGATGTTGCGAGGGGGGTTGACTGATGGATGAACGGTCACATAAAATGATAAGGAATGTCTCTTTAAGAGGGGCAGACAGTCCATTAATGTGGCGATAAGAAGCCCTTATGCAGGGCAAAGTCTGTCCAGTGCCTGGCAACACTGTTTAGTCCTTTCTCAGTTAATGTTTGTGCAGTTGAAGACACAATGTGGATCAGTTGAAGGTGTTTGAGTCAAAAGTATCTAAACCTCCCCTTCCTGAGGAAACAGGTACACTAGAATGAATACCCTGAGAATAATTTCCTGCACTGTAGCAACTTGCTTAAAAATCCCCTTACGCGGATCAGGATACTTAAGTACAAGTGTAATTTCTGTTAGTGTCAGAAGACAGCAGTTCATTTTGTCCTTAATCTTGACAAAGCTGATCAGGTTAGTTCTGTAGGATGGTAATTTTTGTATGAATGACAGGTGACATTTTAGGGATTTTTTTGTACTGTGGCATCAGAACAGCTGACAGATGTTTCCTTCTGGCCCCACACTGGTAGGTCTCATAGGGTGAGGCCATTGCACACTGTCAGCACAGGGTTCTGGTGCCCACCTTACTTCAGAAGGTTCACCTGAGTTCAAGTGTGTATGGTGGAAGTCTGGTTGGTCTGGTTTGGCTTTAGTCATGTAAGGAATTCAAAGCTGACTTCGAAAAATTCAGTAAGCAATTTCTGGCATTTCTAACAAAGAACTGTTCAGATCATGTTTTTAGGCACAGTTTTCTTGCATCTCTGGCAGGGCAAATTCCTAATGCAGATGAGGAAACTTTGAATTGTGACATGGAATTGCAAGTTGACGAGCTAAATTCCTGGATTGCTTATTTTGACCTGGTGATATTATAACAATTTGATTTTTCTAGCATCTTGCTTTGGGTAGCAAAATGTACTCTTGACTCATGTTAGATAACTAAATTTTTCCATAGTGAAGGCAAGGCAAGAACGAAGTTTTGACAGCCATTATATCACTTTAAGAGAGTAATATGCTTTTCTTAAGTACCATTGCTTTTGATTCATGACTAACTTGTATATAAGGGTGCATGTTACATATTTATTTTTGCATTTAGTTAATGTTATGTGGAGTCAAATTTCAACAAGTGTTGTCATCTCTCTTTAATGTCCTTCTCATTCAGGGAATCATTCAAGGGTTTCTTTAAATGCTGTCTATCTCTAATATATGTTTTGGAATTCAAGTTTATTTATAGAAAGAAGTATGAAAACAGATAACCCTTTGAGAAGCTACACCCTCTATTCCCCCTGTGTTTCAGTGTCCTGTGTAATTTTAAATGGAAAAGAAAAACTCAGAAAGCAGAAGCAGTGAAATGTCTTGGCAGGAGACCACAGAGATCTGGGACTCTGAGTTGCTGCTAGTGCCAGGCATGCCAGTGCAGGGAGCGCTTTTGTATTCCTTGAAATAGATCTCTTGTCATTGGCATTTTGATGTAATTGGTTTGGATCCGACGGTCCTCTGACAAAAACTATTTAGGCAAAGGATAATTCTACAAGATCCAATGTTGAGTGCTAGTCATGCAATTCCCTTGAAGTCATGTAACTAACTTGTATTTTCTCAGTCACTGTCAAAAGTAATTCAGAGTCTGATGCGAACACCATTTAAACAGAAGAAAGGTAGAACCATTAGTTCTACATGAAATATATAAAATGGAAGGAAATACATTATGCATGTTTCCAGATTGCTTCCAGATCTCTAGATGTAATGCCACAAAAGTATGTTTTCCATGGAACTGATCTGTAAACTCTGGAGAGTAGGGCAGGATCTATCTTACGCAGGGTCTGCAGCACTCAGTGGGTTTTATACTAGAAACTCTGGTTTCTAGTATCATCTAGTTTCTAGTTTCATCTCTACAATAAAACAAATACATGCAAGTTCTGTTGTTAGTAATTGGTGTTAAATGCTAAGTAGAATTACTTCAAATGTGAAGATGTAGTAGCATCTTGTTTAGAAATTCATGGTTTTGGTGTTAGGAGTTTGCTTCATGTTTTGTGGAAGTCCAGCTCAATAGTATTTATGTGTGTGTGTAACTTATGTTTCCCAGATTTCTACCATTTGAAAAACTGAAGTTGTAGGCTTTTTTATAATCTATGCTTTGAATAATCCCAGTCAATGAATATCAATGAACTTTTTTCTTCCAGTCACCCAGCATGGGGACCCTGATGGGAGTATATTTACCATGCATGCAGAATATCTTTGGGGTTATTCTCTTCCTTCGGCTGACTTGGATGGTAGGAATGGCTGGAGTTCTTCAGTCCTTCCTGATTGTATTGCTTTGCTGCTGTTGTGTAAGTATATAGGTAAAATAATGCATGTGACATAACTGTGAAACTATTGAGAAACTTGGAAAGACTGCATGGCAATGCATGTGTAAAGAAAAGCCAGATTTATGCTAGATGCTTCTGCTGTGTTTGTAGCCATGTGATGTCTTTTTTTTTTCCATTATTTTTTTTCCCCTAGGTTTTCTAAACTGGCAAACCATATCTAGTGTAGATACAGCCTTTAAAATGGTGTTTATTCAGCAAGCATCTGTTTTCTGTGCCTGTCCCAGGTCACAGCTGGCTGCTTTGCTGCACTGGCCTTGTTGGAATTTCAGCTTTGCAGATGGAGGGACACTTGCATTCTTTTATCTTGCTTTGTCTGCAGACACCTGTTATTTGACCTGATAAGGCAGTGGTCATCTCTGCAGCAGAAGTCTCAACAGCTTGATGATTAAATTTCTGCTACCCTTGTTTTCTTTCAGAGAATGACATGTCAAGGCAGAATAAATAGAAATAATGTATGCTGTATGCAGTGGCAGCTTTGCTCTGTCAAGAAATAAGTTATGCTTTAAAAAATGTCGTTGACGCAATTGCTTCCTTGTCCTTGTTTTCCCCAGACTATGCTGACAACCATATCGATGAGTGCCATTGCCACAAATGGTGTTGTTCCAGGTAAGTGTAGTTAACAAACTTCTCATTTGTGTTTAAGGAAAAAAACCAACTTCCTGTAAGCTGTTAACAAGGTTTTATTCCAGAGAAGTTTGCTTCAGCCAGGACACAAAGCCTGAATTCCTATGTAGAATTTCATCTTAGTATCAATCAGGCTAAAGATAAATTGATTTGGTTTTTAGTTACCCCTGTGCTAACAAAAAGTTACTTCAGTTGAACCCCCCAAAAAAGCAGGTACATGGTATATAATTTTGTTGTATTCTTGTCGTTAATATTTTACAATTTATAACAACAAGTAAATAAATGACAATTTTACTCTCACTTTTCTTGTTTCATAGCTGGTGGCTCCTATTTCATGATATCCAGGTCATTAGGCCCAGAGTTTGGTGGAGCTGTAGGGCTGTGCTTTTATTTGGGAACAACATTTGCAGGAGCGATGTATATCCTTGGTGCCATTGAGATTTTACTGGTGAGTAGTACCAGAGTAATCCTGCTTTTAAGACAAATAGAAAATACTGCAGTATTCTTATCCCCTATTCGTATACACATTTACAAGGTCTCCAGTTTCTTGGTGTCCAATTCTGTACCACTAGTGCTTCATTTTGGAATTTGTGCACTCTGTGGGTATCCAGAATGGATGCTCTTCTGAAAACAGAGATGAAAGTATAACTTAAAGATATGAGCTCCTCATTAATAAAGTTAGCTCAGTTGTACTGATAATAATATTTTAATGTATTATAATTTGTCAAATAAATGGGCTGTTATCCCTTGACTTTTCCTATAAACTGAAGATTCCTGGTGAAAAGCATGTTGTACATTGGAAAGTGAGGTACATTTCTAGTATAGGTACAAGATCACTACAGTACTATAGATGGAGTTCTGTTCCTCTCTTCCATCAGCTTGCTTTCTTCTTGTTTCAGACATACATTGTGCCACAAGCAGCAATTTTTCATCCATCTGGTGCCCATGATGCATCCAGTGCTATGCTAAACAACATGAGGGTGTATGGAACTGTATTCCTCATCTTAATGGCAGTGGTGGTCTTTGTGGGAGTGAAATATGTTAACAAATTTGCTTCCCTCTTCTTGGCCTGCGTAGTAATATCCATACTGTCCATTTATGCTGGAGCTATCAAGTCCATCTTTGATCCACCTGAATTTCCGTGAGTAGTACTTCCCAATTATGGGTATAGCTTTGCCTGCAGGTCTGGAAGGTGAGGTTCAATGGAAGTTACTTGAAACTTCTGCCTGATACATTGTCAAAGCTACCTTTTTGTGGATTACTTCGGGTTCTTTTAGCTGTATATAGTGACAGTGATAATCTTCTGCATGCAGAGCTCATGGAATAGGAGTTTCTTAGATTCAAATGAATGCATTATTACATTCTTTAACTGTTCTGGCAGAATGAAATCTCATGGTGAGTATAAAGATTGATGGAGGCTGACATTTCCTGCTTCCTGCAAAAACAGTCCAATATCTCAGCCTGTGGCTGTTGAGTTAAATTTTAGCGAGAATTTTGCTGGGTTATTTATGGCAGTCCTTCTCAGTAGGAAGCAGTTTGGTGGGTCCATTTTCCCCAGGCCAGTCAGACATGATGTGCTGCCGTCGTGGTTGGAAATTATGGTGGTGTGGTGCAGCTGCTTGCTGAGAAGTTGGGCATTTCTTAGGAATGTGGGAGGTGTGACTGTGGGGCCATGCTGAGGCTCCAGTGAAACTTTCCCTTGATCTGGAAGCAGATTAGTCTGCCATATGGGTAGCCCTGGCGCTGAACATAACACGTGTTCCTTGGCGTAATAGTGGTTAAATAGGGAATACAGTTTCTTAAACTCGGAGATGGAGCGCAGCAATAATGTGTATATGTGTGTTTTACCAGAAATGCAAACAGTATTTCCTGATACTGCTGACAAGAGATGAATGGAATGGAAATAGAGGAGTTGAGTCTGCATAATAAACTCACATCTTAAAGTGCTGTGACCACAGCTAAGTACTTGCAACCCTCAAGTGCTCCCTTTAGATATTTAGGGCCCAATGATTATAATGTCTTACAACAGTGGCAGGTTTACAGCAGTAAAAATAACACAGTGTCTCTGCCTCCCCCTCATTATCTCTTGGATTGTTCTTGAATATTTTACCTATCTTTGTTCCTTGGGCTGTATTTCTTTTGCTGAAGTAACCAGGTACTATATTTATTTTGAATTCTGGTGGGGAATGCTTCTCGTAAGTTACAGTTCACAGGCCTGGAAACCCTTCAAAAATAGCCTGGTCTCTTCTGTTTTCCTGGCTCTAGTGATTGATAAGACCTGTGAAACAATTGAACTTACTAAAATGGAAGAAACAATATATTTTTCCCCCCTGTGGGTGTATTTTGGCACTGGGAAGAAAAGCTGAATGAACTTTCAGTAGCAGCAAGCTGTTACATCAGCATGTCCTGTGAAACCATCTTTGGAGAAATGGATTCAAGATTTTCAGTGCTGGAATAAACTATATTTGTGGTTATGTGAAATGCAACAGGCACTGAGGGATTTTAGCAATTATGTATAGTATCTTCTGACAGGAGGAACCTTTGCTTGTTGTGGTTGAAATGTGTGTTCCTAATTCTGAAGTTAAAATGTTAGTGCTACTACACAGAAATAATGGGATAACGTGATTCCATATATCTTCAGATATTCTAAATATCTAGTAATTTGAATGCTAATATTCTTCAGATCTCTTCCACTCCAGTAGTTCTGTTAAACTGAAAACAAAAATGTTGCCTAATCTTTCCCTTTCATTGTTTAAGGTAAATTTACCAAATCCAGTAAATCACACTGATGTAGCTTTTTATACCTACCCTAAACTGTTGGAAGAGTAGCTGCATACTTCTGACCCTCAAAGGAAACAAATACACAGTCTGTCCTGTGACAAAGCTGAAGCTGAGAAATTATGTAGAGCCACTTGAAGTTTCTGTGATATGAAAGACAACTTCTGGGGAAGGTGGATTTCATTTTCCCAGTAGCACCATATAATAACCCTGGTTTTCATGTCTCCCTTCCAGGATTTGCATGTTAGGCAACAGGACTTTGTCAAGAGATCAGTTTGATGTTTGTGCCAAAACCATAGTTAAGGATAACATTACTGTGGCCTCTAAGCTTTGGGAGCTCTTCTGCCACAGTACAAACTTAACCACCGAGAACTGTGATGAGTATTTCCTGATGAATAATGTCTCTGAGATAGCAGGAATTCCAGGAGCTGCTAGTGGCATTTTAAAAGGTATGATAGAATACTTTTTTTCCCTTAAAGAGGAGGCATGCTGAGCAGTTGAAATGGGTTGAACCTTGCTGGTTAAGAAAGAGGGAATGAAGAAATGTAATGACAGTGAAGAAAATTATCTTCAATAAAGAAAACCAAGTCTTCTAATCTTTAAAAAGAGTAGGTGGCACTTTTCTCCTGATAAAGTACTTGTCTGCTGTGAAACTGATTAAATACACCTTGTGCATCTGATAATTTCAGCAGAAAGCCAGCTGTAATTATGAGCTATACTGTCACGAGCAAGTTGTTTAAAACTTTTCAGAACTGCGTAGCTGTGACGCTCCATTGTAGACAAGTTAAGATTATGTCCTGAAAGATAAGAGTACTTGCATAAAAAGAGCATGCCTCCTCCTTTGCTTGCTGCTGCATGTAGTGTAATTGAAAAGTGTTCATTATTGAGATGAGCCCCAGAAAACAGTTGCTTTGTGCAGGTGCTGATTCCCTTAAGGTTCCCTTTTTCACAGAAGCCGGTAGTCTAGTTTCTAAAATGGACTCAGCATTTATTAGTGAAATTGCAAATGCTGGCCATAGAATTCTGTAATTCTTCCACTCTCTACAGAACAAATCCATTTATATCTAGAAAGCTGGTTAATATTGCTGCTTGGGATTCTCTGCGCTATGTGTGGGTGTAGTGGTTCGTTAAAAATATTCAATGTGTTCCTTGGGGTTAAGACAGGTATGAAGTTAAAAGAATGTTACATTTAGTAATATCAAAGGATACGAGGTGCATAGACTTCTGTAGGCTACTGATTTATTGGTTTTGTTACAGACTCCCTTGAAAGCATGCAATACAAGTTTTCCATTCTTTTTGTGTTGATCACTAAATTGCATTAATTGCATTTGTAATCTTCAGTTGTAGACCCATTATAATGTGAACAGGTTTGAACTGAAACATGCTTTTCTTTTCTGTGGTGTGATAACAACATTGAAGACAACTTATGGAGCAATTATTTGGAGAAAGGAGAGATACTGGAGAAAGCACATCACCCATCTGTTGATGTAGCAGGCCAGAAGAACAACCTTCATCTATACGTGCTTTCAGATATAGCTACTTCATTCATGGTGCTGGTTGGCATCTTCTTCCCTTCAGTGACCGGTGAGAATACTGGGGCAAGAAGGCACCCTGCGTCTCTGAGCTTTCTTCTCTCCCATGGTCTTACGTCCAAAATGTATTTTCAGGTATCATGGCTGGTTCAAACAGATCAGGGGACCTCAAAGATGCACAGAAATCCATTCCTGTGGGAACTATTCTTGCTATTGTCACCACATCACTAGTCTGTATCCTTTTAAAAATCAGTAGGGTCCTGGCACGTTATAAGTGACTCAGATGAATGATTATGTATCTGATTTGTGGAACTGCTTTCAGGTGACCAAATTATCAGTGTCAGTATGATTGGCCAGTGGAAAAATAAAACAACCCAAACAGCCCTTGAGCTGAAAGCATCAGAATTATTATCCTGTTGGTTTTCATCCTCCTTTTTGTGTTTCCTTCTTTTGCATTTCTGTTGCCTTTTTTTGTTGTTTTTTTGCTAAACGGTGGCCTATAGCTTTTCAGGCCAGTGGAATACAGGTATATATATTTTTAGGATGTAGTGGACCATTAAGATAAGGCAAGGCTTTAAATGAGAGAGATTGTAAATGTTCTTCAAGTGTTTTTTGCAGAGTGGGGAAGGCTCATTTGTAGAGCCAGCTGCTCACTGATACCAATGAATTCCTGTATTTAATTTGAAGTCAGTGAAACAAGATCATCTTGCACCAGTTTACAGGATTTTTTTTCCACCTCCCCCTTGATTTTTAACACAGCCATTTAACATTGATTTAAACGCTGTTCTGTGATTCTTAGACACATCCCCAGCTGGCATGCATGGCAGTGTTAGAAACACTGCTCAGTAGTGAGCTCCACATAGCTGTGAATGACTTGTTTTCCGCCTGTTTCCACTGAGACTGGAGTACTTAATTTGCCGAATACAAGGATGTTCCTCAAACCAGGTTTCTAGGTGCTGAGTGTGTTCAGAGGAACAGCCTTTGTCCCAGTTGAAGTTGCTGGTTTTGGTGTGGGGTTAAACTCTTCAGGGCTTAGAGCCACAGGAGCTTTGCTTAGAAAAGGCTGTCTTAATCTCTTCTCTCTTGCTAGAGAAAAGATGAAGCCAAGGTCTTTCAGCTTCATCTAGCTGTTGGTATCGTAAGCTACAGCTTATCAACACAGTAGATTAATTGCCTTTTGCCTTTTTTTTATTCTGCTGTTTTGAACCTCGTTTTTGTCAAACTTTGCCAAGCTGTTAATCAGGATCCCAGCTTAGGGTGCAGCCCTTCCCAGATGTTACTTTGGGAACTGACCCTGTACCAAGAAGTCTGCGTTTCCTAGGAATGTAGTAAATATTAAAACAGGTCACAGATGTATTCCCCAAGCTCAACTGTTAAAATATTTGCAGTTAAAAACTTACTTTGTGGTGGTTAACTTTATAAGAAGATATTAATGTGCCACCCAGTGGAAGGCTTGCATAATAATTTTTAGAAGTTATTGATGTTTCCCCTTTTATTACTTTATTACTTTTATTACTTTATTTATTACTTTTATTACTTTTACTGTATTTTACTTTTACATTTCAGGGGTAGAAGCTACAAGTACTCTATTTGTACTCTCCATGCAGTAGTTGTACAGTTTAATAACAAACCAAATATTCAGAGATTTATTGGTGATGGTGAATACCATCAGAGAGCACAAAATGAGAAAGTGCAGCGTAACAATTTGCTATATGTTCGATGTAACTTTTAAAATACAATTTTATATGTAACTGCCAATTCGATCTGCTAGCATAGAACAGAAATTGATATTAAAATCTTTCTACTCTTCTGTCTGAAGATATCTCCTTTATTGTAACATTTAAAACTATCTTTTTTTTTAAATTGAAACTTAAACTAATAATTTGTCACTTGACTATTAGGAGGTGTATAGGAGTAGTGAGACATTACTTTACTCACCAGCTTTTCATGTACTTGCAGTGATGCTGCAGTGCAGATGCTGTAGGACAGAGGCACACGTTGAACTTTCCACAGTATTTTCCATGGTTGTTTTCATCTGCCATGTCTAAATAAATCCTACTTCCTTAGCACACTCTGTACTCAAGACTTCAGTTGTGTACTATTATTTGGAGCCTGCATAGAAGGTGTAGTCCTGAGAGATAAGTAAGTTTCATTGCTCCAATGCTCTCCTTTCTTTTTTGTAGGGAAGTTGTGTTCTTTCTCATCTCATGCCACTCCTCACCACCCGTCCCACCTCCCCTTTTTTTTATTTCTGGGTGCCTTTTAAACCATATTTGTATGTAAATTGTAAACAATGTTTTGTGAATCTTCTTGTATTTGATTTGAAAGAGATTTTTCATCCTATGTCTTAATTCTTTCCCTCCACTACCCCCACCCTGCCCCAAACCTATTTTGTCTTGTGCTGATGTACCCTTTTCAGTTTCCAGGGGTACTTGTTCAAATATCGGATCCCTAACAGTAAAATATAGGTTTCTATTTTTTTCTTTCTTTTACCTAGAGGATGCAAAATAAGAACAACAACAACAACAATAATTTTGTTTTCTCTTTTTCTTCTCCAGATGAGCCTTAATATTTTGCCTTGATTGTTGTCCTCTTTTTTGTTAATTACTGAGTTTGGCAAAATTACTCTTTCCAAACTGTTTTCTGGCTTCATTGCCATATAAGGTACTACAACTGATTTTTGTAAAAGCATGGGTGACGTCAATAGTGTATGCTAACTAGCTAAAGTTATTTCAGCTTATGGTATGTTAGCAGATAGCTTGCAAAGTTGCTCAGATCTTTCTTGTGCTTGCTAACCGCGGTCCCCTGAGTCAATGAGGAGTATAATGTATATTCCCTGACCCATGGCAAAGAAAATATCTTAAATAACAAGCAAGCAGCACACATTTGTATCTGTATATATTGTATTGCTTATAGTGGCATTCATAGGAAGAAGTATTTCCTCGTAGCATTTGTGATGATTTTCTTTAATAGAAACCACATTAAGAAACAGAACCAGACATCCGTAAGTGGACAAAGTTTGGTGTTTGGTTATCTCCGCCCTCAGATTATTAGTTATCAGACATTTCTGTCTCTAAACCAAATAACAGTATTCCTGTCACTGGAGCCTACAAGTGCTTTTTCTGGCCACTTCCCTCATGTCCCCAGAAGAGAGTCCATCAACAGGCAGTGAAGTGCCTGTGAATATAATTGTCTGAGAAATAACCCTGCAAACTTGGCCTGTATTAAAAACAGTGTGACCAGCAGGTCCAGGGAGGTGATTATCCCCCTGTACTTGGCACTGGTGAGGCCGCACCTCCAGTACTGTGTTCAGTTCTTGGCCCCTCACTAGAAGAAGGGTGTTGAGATTCTGGAGCGTGTTCAGAGAAGAGCCACAAGGATGGTGAGGGCTCTGGAGAACAAGCCTTATGAGGAGCGGCTGAGGGAACTGGGGTTGTTTAGCCTGGAGAAGAGAAGGCTGAGGGGAGACCTCATCAGCACCTACAACTACCTAAAGGGAGGCTGTAGAGAGGTGGGTGCTGGTCTGTCCTCCCAGGTGATGGAGGATAGAACAAGGGGAAACGGCACCAAGCTGTGCCAAGGGAGGTTCAGGTTAGAGATAAGGAAGAAGTTCTTTACTGAGAGGGTCGTCAGAGGCTGGAACAGGCTGCCCAGGGAGGTGGTGGAGTCACCATCCCTGGATGTATTTAAAGAGCTGGTAGATGAGGTACTTAAGGATATGGTTTAGTGGGTAGACAGGAACGGTTGGACATGATGATCTCAGAGGTCTTTTCCAACCGAGCGATTCTGTGATTCTGTGAAACAAACCAACCAAAAAAAACATCCAAAGTCTTCTGCAGGGATGTCTGGTACTGGATTGTGTTGGGTGTTTTAAACATTAAACTTATTTTTTTGCTAAGGATTGCATCTTTCTAGGTGAAAATACTGTTGTGATAATAGTGTAAGAGTTTTATGTTATATCGTCCAAAGAAAGTTTTTAAATTGTTGAAATCAGGCTGCAAATACTTCCTATCTGTGTATCTAAGGTAACTCAGATTGTTTACCACTTCATTTCCTAATGAAGAAGCTGTGTAATACTGAATGACATTTAGATAACTGAGAAAGTAACATTTATATACATATATAACATTTAAATGACATCTTAAAACTGACCCCAAATAATAAAGGTGAGTGTCAAAATACCTCTTTGAATATGTCGCACTGTTCCTCCCTGCAGGTACGGTGATGCAGTGAACAAGAACTTAGTGGTGGGCACCCTTTCATGGCCCTCTCCGTGGGTCATTGTGATAGGATCCTTCTTCTCTACCTGTGGAGCAGGTTTGCAGAGCCTCACTGGAGCGCCCCGGCTGCTGCAGGCCATAGCAAAGGACAACATAATTCCTTTCCTCTGGGTTTGTACTTAAGGCGTTCCTTACATAGAAACTAACCAGCTCTTTGGCTTTATGCTCTTTGGAATCTGATTAATTTTTCTCTAGTTTGCCCAACATTGAAGTGAAGGTCAGTCTTTTTTATTTTAATGCTTTGTGTTCTTTTGTTAAAAACTAGGAATAATTTTAAAGGTGTTTAAATAGACTTATATGGTAATTTTATGAAGATGTCCAACATCTAATTCAGTGAAGCAGAGAAACCCACTAGAATAATTTGACTCCTTGGTCTGGAGAAAAAAGTATGTAGGAAAATTACTCTTGCTTTTTAAAATGTTTTGGTTTGGTTTTTGTTTGTTTTTTTTCATTTTACCCTTATGAATACTCGGAAGACATGCTTAATGTTTCTGTTTCTTCAGGTTTTTGGTCATGGAAAAGCGAATGGTGAACCAACATGGGCTCTTTTGTTAACAGCATTAATTGCTGAGCTGGGAATCCTTATTGCATCACTGGACATGGTGGCTCCAATTCTCTCCATGTAAGAAACAGGGTGGTTGCTATTTAAGAAATAAAAAAGGGAGGGGCGGGGAAAGAGCAATGCTCTCTGATTTTGCTAATTTGATTGTCTCTTGGAACCATATGTTAAACCGGTAAAGCAAATTACTGAAGCCTGAGTTCCACTTTTATTATTTCTATGAATTCTCTGACATCAGGCAGTACATGTAAATCTGTTTGTCTTTGCTTTGGAGTATTCTGTGAATAAACAAGTTTTTGGTATAGCTGGATAATTATTTGCTTTGGGAAAATGTTATTTTCATCAAAGAACAAAGATAGTGTTGATGCTGTGGATATATCTAACATGATTCAATTGAAAAATTCAATTCTACTGGTAGTTCAGGCTAATAAAATTCAGAGGGGTAGTCACGCCTGACAGGGCAGCCGTAGTTTGACGGTAAGTTATTTGTATTGTTGCAGTATATGCCAGAATCTGTAAATGTGTGCTAAAACGTTTTGCACTTTTTTTGCTCATGCAGGTTTTTCTTGATGTGTTACCTCTTTGTTAATCTCGCATGTGCCGTACAAACGCTTCTTAGAACTCCAAACTGGCGGCCTCGATTTAAATACTATCACTGGTAAGCAAAAGGCCAGCATGCTTAGTGCCTTTGTCTGTAATCTACAGCGCAAGGTTCAGAAGAACTCCATGAGGGCTGTGGGCATTTTTTATTTCTGTTCTAGACGGGAGTACATTGATGTGATATTCATAGTGGTCCAGATGTGGATATGTAATGGCATGAGGGTTTCATTCCAACAGCGGGGTACTAAAACTGCTGGGGACTGGGGAGATTCATTGGGAGCTTTACTTTCACTGCTAATTCAGAACAATTTAAAGAAAAAAAGAGTAAAAGAATAATTGACTTGTTTTTAAGCTTTTCTACTCCACTACTCACTAATACCTTTGCTTTTTTGTTTTAGGGCCCTCTCATTTTTAGGCATGAGTATTTGCCTGGCGCTGATGTTCATTTCATCTTGGTACTATGCTTTGGTAGCTATGCTTATTGCAGGCATGATTTACAAGTACATTGAATACCAAGGGTAGGTATTAAATGGATAGAAAAGGGTAGGGAAGGAGTTTGAGTCTATTTTTCTATGAATTATCTCTAGCCTTCACATTTGGAGAAGGAACTGCTCGGAGATATGACTGAGAGCGCTTCCCTCACTAGTTCATTCTTTTCATTGTTTTACTGTATCAGTGATAAATAAAAGCCCCTGAAGTGCTTTGTTGCTAAGCCTCTAAAGTTGTTTGGTGGAACTTGAGAGTCACAGGAAGCAGAAGCCTTGGTTGGGTTCTGCCCTTCTACTTTCTATCACACAGGATTACTTCAGGCCTTGAACATCTGAAGGCAGCCATCTTATTCATATTTATCTGGTGCAAGGGTCTGTCTAGAACAGTCCTTGGAAAGCTGAATCTGCAGGTTAGGTTGCCTGAGATTGTTAATATCTGATGGAGTCGAGCTGTACTATGGCTGTGTAGCTTAAGTTTAACAAATCAGCTGTTGAAGTGCCTGTTTATGCTTGAGAAGTGTTCTTCATAGTGGAGTGTTGATTATAGATTAAACGCAGAAGGTGTAGTATACATTTGACTGAAACATTTGCATTTCTCTCATATGTGTGGTAAACATCACAGACATACAAATGATAAATATACATGTGATGCATGCTATGTATCACATAGTTCATTATAAAGGAATGATTTCTCTATAGCATTACTGTAAATGTGCAATTAAATGCTCATGAAACTGTACGTTGGCTAAATTGTGTGTTCTTCACAGTGCAGAGAAGGAATGGGGTGATGGTATCCGGGGTCTTTCGCTTAGCGCAGCAAGATATGCCTTACTCAGACTGGAGGAGGGCCCTCCACACACAAAGAACTGGAGGTACTAATTTTAGGTTAATACAATGCATTGTCATTATTATCTACTTAAGGAATTAAACTGCACTCCAAAGAAGATACTTCTGGTCTGTGTGAATGAATTTAAATGCCCAGAATATTCAAGACAAAAAAATAAAAATGTTGTGTCTGAGGTAAGCTGCTCTGTCACTGCCCAAGCCCTCCTGCATGGGCCCTCTGGGGGCAGAACTTGTGTGTCCTTTGGATCTTTGTTTGACCTTCGAATTGGTGAATTCAGAAGTGGAACCTGGGGAAACTGTGGAGAGATCCAGAGGCCAAGAGCAGTTTGCACTGGGGGCACAAAGATGTCACTGCTGACACTCTAGGATTAAAAACCAGAATAGTGGCCAACATTTCTCCCTCTGGCTTTGTGTGTTTGCAAACAGACTGAAGTGGGCAAACCCTCCTCTCAGTTTTGCATGGCACAGCTCTTAGGCTCCAAACAAGAGGACTGGGAATCTACCAAAGTCGAGAATTTTATATATCTTTTTATACTTGCTCAACCATAGCTTAAGAGAGAAAGTGACCTAATTTATGTGTAGCAATACCTTAAGGGACAGAAAGCAGGTGGGATCTGTGTTTAGATGAAAGTATTCATGTTTCCCAGTTGTTTGGCACAAGTATCCAAGTAGATCTGCAAGGACAGCCTTACAGTATGAACAGTGTGTGGTCTAATAGCACTTAAAAGAGCCTTGAAAATCAACCACATAAACAAAACACTAACGCAAGCCTCTTAAGCTAAGTACGTGAACAGGTTTGATGACTGTCAAAACAATCCAGCAGAAGTCCCTCAATGCTTCAAATCTGCTTTTAATCAAGAGAAATAAATGATTTATTAAAACCCCTCTAATGTGTGAGATACAGAAAGAATTTATTGTTTCAGAGTTAATATTCAAGCACAGTTAAAGTGATGAGAGGCAGTTTCTTAGATATGTTTTTGTTAAAGCCTGAGCAAGAAATACATCCCCTTTTTATTTTCTCCAGGCCTCAGTTGCTGGTGCTTCTGAAACTTGATGAAGATTTGCATGTAAAATACCCTAGATTGTTAACATTTGCATCTCAGCTGAAAGCTGGCAAAGGTTTGACTATCATAGGATCAGTGATCCAAGGGAATTTCTTGGAAACCTATGGAGAAGCCCAGGCTGCTGAACAGGTCAGTGTCTTAAATTCCTAAAGTAGAAAGGAGTGAGTGGGCAGATAATGTAGAAGTTTCATAATCATACATGGAAAAAAGTGTATCAGTAAGTCTGTCATGAGATACAGGACTAGTTGAGTAGCACTACAGCTGTTCAGTAAAGGGCTTCCGCTGTCAGTTGTGGCTTTGGGAATATGATAAGATCAGTGCTTGCAACTTGTGTGAACAGCCTTACTGCATAAAACTGTCTTCATTTATAAGAAATAATTACTAGGGAAGATTATGTATGCTAATTGGAGGCAGGAAGACTATTTAGTTTCCTGAACATACCAAGAAACATTTCAATAACCATAAATTATTACAAACTTAGAAAATGTGTTGTGCCTCTTTCAGTGTGGTGAGAAATGGATTACAAAAAGCATTGAAGGATGGTCCTGAAAATTTAATAAATCATTTCATCTTCCTCAATGTGTAAACGTGACATCATTCCCCTGTTTGCATCTGCATAGTATCAGCACATCACCTTTTTCTTCCGCAGAGGCTTTTTATGCAGGAAAACTGTTCTATAGGAAAACTAATTCATAGGCCTATGTTGATCAAGTTTAGTTTTTAAACAAATGCCGGGTGTGGTATTCTCGATAGGTGTGGGGGGTTTGGTGCTTGTTTGTAAATTGAATGTAATAACAGTGTGTTACATGGGAATCTGAAACTGGAAATCCAGATGAAATTAATTAACGTTGAGTTTAAAAAGGTGAGTGTTTTAGGATTAAAAATGGAAAGTGAGATAGTAACACAGGTATCACTAACTACTACTGTGAATAAAAGATTATAGCACGAACCAAAACCACCTTCTCTTAATCTATTAGAAATAGTTCATTTTGGAAGGGAACTATGTGTGTTTTAAACAAGTATCATTCACAGTTAGTGGGTATTTTTTATTCTGTTTTATTAAGGAAAGCAGATGAGCAAAACTTTGCTTTGAAATGTGCTTTACCTGTGGACATGTGAACCAGGAATTTACACTGTAATCACGTGATAGAGAAATACTTTAGTAATTCTGTTGGTTGTGAGGCTTTTTCTTCTCTGTCTTGCAGACTATTAAGAATATGATGGACATTGAGAAGGTGAAAGGATTTTGTCAAGTAGTTGTAGCAAATAAAGTTCGAGAAGGAATTGCCCACTTGATCCAGTCCTGTGGACTAGGTGGCATGAAGCACAATACCGTGGTTTTGGGATGGCCATATGGCTGGAGACAAAGTGAAGATCCAAGGTCATGGAAAACATTCATAGGTGAGCTTTGAAGGTTTGGGGTGATCAGACACTCTGAACAGAGATGTTTATTACACGTATGGTACACACAAGGGATTTTACAAGAGTTGTCATGAAATTGGTTTTGGTTTTTAGTCTGTTTTTTCTAGTATTGATTGTAAAGTAAATAATTTCTCACAGAACTGCTTTATGCTTGGAATATCAATTATTGTAGGTAAAAGACCTATGAAAGATTTTCAAAGATTAATCTAGCAGCTAAAATGAATGTGTCTAAGGAATGCTTAAAAAAATATATGGACTTGAGAGATATTGTTCTTATGGCAATCTCTAACTTGTTTCCTAGGTAATCTCTGTCTTTTTCACTGGTCTAACCTATCCGTCTCTCTTCACTACTGGCACTAACACTCTCCTCACCTATATCCCTCTCCTTCTGCTATGGTCTAGTTACTTAACACAGTCAAATGAGTACAGAGCAGATGTTTTCTCCTCATACTTAGCTTTGAAGATTGCTGCTTTTATTTCAGACATGAAATAGGGCTTGTGTTCCTGTAAGTCTGCTTTATCCTAGCTTTGTCATTTGGTCTGACCTGTCTATATGAGCCTTGCTGTACAGACTTTCTGTAAGCAATGACTTTTATGGTTTGTTGACATTTGCTCAATGAATAACCTTTTTTTAAATTACTATTATTTTTTTAAAGCTCAAAGATCGCTCTTGTAGTATTGGAAGTAACTGTTCTTCCCCTTTTGGGCAGGTACTGTTCGCTGCACAACTGCAGCCCATCTGGCTCTGCTGGTTCCCAAAAATGTCTCTTTCTACCCCAGCAACCATGAGCGTTACAATGAAGGCAACATTGATGTGTGGTGGATTGTACATGATGGAGGCATGTTGATGCTGCTTCCTTTTCTTCTCAAACAGCACAAAGTAAGGAGCTAGCAAAAGAATGTTTGTCAGCCATCTGCTTCTGTGTGCATTAGTTTAAAGAAGCAAGGTCTGGTGGCAGAACCTGTACTGATAAACAAGAGTGGATATAGTGATAAGATCTTGTTTCATAGAGCTAAATATTATTGGCTCAAATACTGAGAGTTTATGTTCCCTTACCAGGTTTGGAGAAAATGCAAAATGAGAATTTTTACCGTAGCTCAGATGGATGATAACAGCATCCAGATGAAGAAGGACTTGGCTACTTTCCTCTATCAACTCCGAATAGAGGCAGAGGTAGAAGTGGTAGAAATGGTAAGGGACTTGAGCCTGTTTTTTCACTGTTTGTCACAAATGCTGGTATTTGGTTATAACTTTATTACAAGCACAGTATTTTTTTTCTTCTTTCTGCAGCACAATAGTGATATCTCAGCATATACTTATGAGAGAACTCTTATGATGGAGCAGAGGTCTCAGATGCTGAGGCAAATGAGGCTGACAAAAACAGAGAGGGAAAGGGAGGTATGTCATCTGTGTTTGATTACTATGGGCTGCTGAGGTGGGTGTCAAAATACCTTCCTGGTAGTGTTGTACACAGCTGCTGCTTAAATTTAACTCCTGTGTTCTAAGATGTAAGGAAATACTTTTAGTGTAGCTTTTTTTCTTTGCAAAATTGCATGTACTCATTGAATGACCTGGCTGTACTTCTAATACCATGCTAGAAATTATTTGGTTTTGGGGAAAATGGTGACAGCATATACATTGTAGAAACTATTTGTGTGTTCCCCTTTGTGATGTAAATGACACTCGATGACCTGTGGATGTAAGTCTCATCCCTTTCTAGACCTTGTTTTTGCTTTATATGGGATGCCTGAGGTTTCTCTCAATTTACAGCATATCCTGTTTTCCTACTGAAGATTTCATTCCAGTTTGGACTGTTAGGACATGTAGCTATGAAGGGTGCAGATGATCTCATTTTTCTGCATGTGTTTGTCCAACTTTTTGTTGTTGTCAGTTTTGAGTCAGACTTGTCCATTGTTTCAGACCATGTCATGATGTAAGATAGACTTTTTTTCTCGTATAGATACAGGCCTCTGTTAGTCCAAATTTTGTGTAGTTTACACTCACAAAAGCTGTTTAAGTTCAGGTTGGTATGTAAGATTATTGGCTAGGGCAGATGATTGGTATCAGAGCTGTCCTAAATGCTAAACTGACTATACAAAATAAAAGATACAACAGAACAAAAAGTCTTTCATTGCTTAAACAGAACCAGAGAACGTAAAATAAAGTCTCTTGAGTTCACTGTGTCATTCCTGTGCCCTCTAGGCTCAGCTGGTAAAAGACAGACATTCAATAGCACGTCTAGAGAGCCTCTACTCAGATGAAGAAGATGAGGGGGACCCAGTTCCTGAGAACATCCAGATGACCTGGACGAAAGAGAAATGTGACGCTGAGAAGCGTAACAGAGGCAGTGCTGTGGGAAGCTTCAGAGATCTCATCAGCATTAAGCCGTGAGTCTTGTCAGAGTTAACAGCTTGCACCTCCTGAAACTAGATGTGCTGTGCTTTAATTACCTTTTGTCTCCTGATCCTTGGTTTACACTTACACAATAAATGTTGAGACCTGCCTACTGAAAAGACAGCAGTTAGGCTTCTGAGAAATCTCTAACCAATTAAATGTGGCACATATTCCTCAATATTTTACTCAGTGTAGCCAAATTCTGAGTTGGAGCTGTTAAATCTTCTTACAACATTCCCCCTGTCTCCAAAATACCTCAACAAAACACACAGTTATAAACCAGACTGATCATTTCACTGATCTTATGTGTAGTGGGGATGCTTAGAGCAGCAAGTTTAGCACAAGCTGTGGAAGTGATGGATGACTGAGAGTAGAACACGTGTGCAATAAAACCCCCTAAAACAGACTTGCTGTTGGAGGAGCACTGACATGTAAATCAGCCTTAGTATGGCCATGTGTGTACCCCTTCAATAGCTAGAAGTAAAGCTCTATTTTGTGTAAAAACGTGTGAATCGCTTGTGACCTCTTTGATGTACATCTTACATGAAGAATTCACTCAGCTTTGTATATTCAGCAAAGTTCCAGATTTTTCTTCCTAAAAATCAGTGAGAATTCAAATCTGGTTTAGGATGGATCATAAATAGTTAATATACTGTAGAAATTCTGCTGAATTTGGTGTTAACTACCTGTACTTTTTCCTCTTCCATGCTTTCAGAGAGTGGGAAAACTTGTTTTTTATTTAACTTAGAAGTACATTAAGGTGGTTGAGAAGGAAGACTTCATTTTCTCAACTAAAAGCAGGAAAACTATATGTAATTATGGAAGAAAAGGAGTTAGAGTTGAGCAACAAACTTAGCAAAGTTTTTAAAGGTAGCAGGATTAGCCACTTAAGCCAAGTCTTGTTATAAATAGCATGTAACAAACTATAGGAGCTGTCCTAACAAGAATTAAGTCAGGATAGAAAACAATTACAGATCTGAACCTATTTTCTTAAGCAATGTATGACACAAGGAGTGGCAAAAGTTAGTCATTTAGAGAAGCTCTCATTCCAGAACACTCCTATGATGTTATTTCTGGCAGTTTTCAGATGCTAAACAAACCTTTCTTACAGCCTACACCTTCAGATCACTGGGGAGAGGCCCATTTTAAATGTCACTGTAGAGAATACCAAACCTTTAGTTTTCAGTTATTTTTCCAAACCTATATGTAGCTGATATGTTGTTTCTGGTGTTGGTTTCTTCCTCACTTCTTGTAAACATAATTTGGCCTCTGTATTGTCCCTGGCTATCTGTAGCAGACGTGTTGAAGACAGAGTCCTTGATCTACATTAAATAAGAACATGAAATAACAGAGAGGTATTTCAAAGTGGGTAAATCGTGTAGTTAGTGTAATAAACACTATTCTTACCATTGCATATTCCGTCTTCTGTGTATATAAATATTTCTTTGCAATCCTAAATACTTAGAAGACCAGCAAGGTTACCAAAGACTTTCACTCATAACATGCAGAGCTGAATTAACAAGACTACAGATTCATATTTGATTCATTTCTACTAATACTTGCTATTAAAATGAAGAAAAGAAACAACCAAGTGGAAAATCCCCAAAGCAGCAAATATATTCTCCCTCTGATAACTCTATTTCTGTATTGTTTTTCTTTTTACGTTTCCAAAATAATGGTTGATTTCCTGTAGGAAGAAACATTCCCCGGCTCCAGCTCCCCAGAGGATACTTTCCAGCTCTGTTACTGCATGAATTGATGTTATTTTTTTGATGATTTATTCTGAATAATTAATCCTGTTACCTCCCTTAGCCTGGATTCTTAAGGAGCAGAGGCTTATGAGACCACACGCATCTATTCCCTTCTCTCCCATAACTTTTGAACCAAGTGGCTACTCAAATTTGAAAACTTCACTGAGATTTTAAAGATGCCTGAGCCATAAGTTTATCTTGCAAATAGCCAGGCAGACAGGTTGGTTAGTTTCCATCTGAAGGAAAGGTTAGAATCCTTACTATACACCAGAAAAGCCCCATAAGCAGGCCTATATCCAGTGTGTGTTCCAGCCTACAAACCTGTGGGCAGCCAGGCTTTCTCTGGAGATGTCGACTGCTGTTCAACACACACAGACAAGTGCACTCACAGGAAGTGTGGACTGAGTGCAGTGGTGTCAGTCTGCTACCCAGTTCCAACAGGTCTCTGAGAAAGAGTTTCTCCAATACTGAGTCCAGAGAGGTGCATGGTCTGTGCTGCCATGGGAGTGAGGGGATCTGGAGAGGGCTGCCAGAAGAACAGGCCACAGTCACAAGTGTGCATGGTCAAAGACCATGTCCCCTTACGCAAATGCGTTCTAAGTTCTTATGCCAGACTGTAAATCATCTTTATAAAATATGCTTCTTGAAGAGCAACATAATTTCACAAACTGGAGACGTGACTCCAGAGATCTTAAAACTGATGGACTAGCAGTACCTGAAGAACTCTGTGAAACCTCTTTTGTGTCTTTATCATGAAGTTTGAAAAATTTTACTATGTGTTGAGTTGACTTTTAACAGGGTATTTAAGAAACTGAAGGTATGCTTTTAAGGACCTTTTTAATAATTCAGTTTTTAGAGGCATGTTTCTAACAGTAAGTCTGAATGTGCTTCTTTTACAGGAACCAGTCTAATGTCCGAAGAATGCACACAGCAGTGAAGCTAAATGAAGTTATTGTAAATAGATCCCATGATGCCAGACTTGTTCTCCTCAACATGCCTGGTCCTCCGAAGAATACTGATGGTGATGAAAACTGTATCCTTTCAGGCAAGGCCTGGTCCCCATAGAAGATCTTCCTTCAATCTGTACTCTTGAATTTATTTTGCCACAAATACTGTCAGGCTGTAATATGTGACAGTGTCCACTGAGTGGAGGGTACTGGCTTGTGGCTGTTTTGTAGTAATTTCTTAAGTATAAGTTGCCACTGGTTGCTCTGGAAGCCTTGTAGGTTTTAAATCAGTCTTGTCTAAAGTCTTACTTCTAAATTTATTTATTAAATTTAATTTAATTCCTTTTGTTTAATTGTCAATAGCAGATGTAGCAGATGTTTAAGAAGGCATTCACAGCAGGCAATGCTCTGGGAGGGCAATGCCTGAACTCGAGAGAACAGGAAGTCCTGAAGGAGAGGGTGTATCTCAGGCACAACTTGCACATCAGAATTCAGGAGCTTAGCTCCAAGTGCAGTGCTCTGGTAAGATTACAATTCAAGCCCATAGTATTTCAGCACTTAGAGGGATGCCTGCACCAGGCCTTTACACAAGGCCAGAGCTGAAGGTTGTGATCTTGTGAGCCTGTTGGTACTGCAGTTCTCTGTCCACAGCTGCTCTTCAGCCTTGGTTTGTACCATTAAATTAGCAAGCCTTTCACTGGCCTGTGCAAAAAGAAAAATATTTTTAAAAGTCACAAATCACAGACTAAATGATTGTTTTCTCCTAAATCTAGACAGTAGCAGTGCTAACACCTGTAGTTTCACAACTGTGTGCTGGCCAAAGAAAGGATAAAAACATTCCTCTTAGCATGAGACAGTTTCAACCACAACTACTATAGCTCGGGAGAGATTTTAAACTCGAGGTGGTGGGTGAGGGTGCTTATTCCTTCACCCTTCCCTGGAGAGGCTGAGCCACTGTGACTGAGAAGAACTTGATGTTCGTGGTGAGCAGCTGGGAGGGGCTGTGACTGTGTAACCTGGTGCCACCAGCATCATTGACAGGCTCGGCTTTGGGCAGTGGTGGGTTTGTCTTGGAGCTGGCTGAAACTGGCTCTGTCCAACATGGGGGCAGCCCCCGGTCTCATCTTGCAGAGGATGCCCCTGCAGCCTCCCTGCTACCAAAATCTTGCTGCATAAACCCAGTACAGAGGCTGATCACTGTGTATTTTGGTTTTGATATTTCTTTTGTCCTCAACTTTACTGAAACAGACATGGAGTTTCTTGAAGTCTTGACTGAGGGTCTGGAGAGAGTATTACTTGTTAGAGGAGGCGGCCGAGAAGTCATCACAATTTACTCCTGATTTAGTACAAGCTTCTAACACTGGTCTACATTTACCTTCTTCATGATAACGGACATTCCAGTTTTAAATGGAGAAGAAAAAAAAAGGTTTTTTTCCTAACTTTCTCCTCATCCAGTCCAATTCATTGTCTTTCCATTTGCAACATACATATCTTTTTGGATTACAGTATTGCTACACCATCCAATTAGCAACATAAGTTAATTGTGAAGCTGCCACATTATTCAGTTTCTGCTTTGACACTCCAGCATTCATGCATGTAGTTTTAACACTAAACCTGTTTTTAGTCAGCACTGCTATGTGCAGTATTTTCGGTAACTGTATGTAAAGTTAAGACATGAAAGCCAGTTACTGTAAAAAGATTTTAAAAGCTTTTTATATTAGGTTTGGGGGATAGAATTACATTATATAGCAGCTAGTTTCTGCTGAAGTTCAGCTATAAAGTATTTTCTAAGAGCACACTAAATTGTAAGAGAGAGCTAAAAAAGCTTTGTTTTTCTGGATTTATTTTGAGAACTAAACTCTCAGTATTGGATGAGAATTTATACTTTTAATACAGTTATTGGTAGGGATTAAAATAAATTATGTTGATATAGTTGAAGTTATGCATGTAGCTTACTACAAGTTGTGTTGCTTCTGAGACTTGAGATTCTGTAAGGCCAGATCCCTATTTATTTTTGTATTTATTTGTCAGATATATTGGATACGCAGATGCAGACTGTTTAATATAACAGAGATCTCAAAATAGATTTTTGAATCATCCATGGATTGAAGGACCAGTCCTGTGCAGTTCTTCCATGCTTTAAATTTCTTGCAGACCATCAATCAAAGTACATTGAGCATGTTGGAGTCCCGTCTGTAGAGCCAGACGCTATGCTGCACACACAGCAATGGGATAGCACTTGCACAAGTACAGGGAACCTGCTGCTTCGTTGTATGCTTTGTGCCCTTAGAGGAAAAAGAAGAAAAGAAGACCTATACTAACCAATAAGTCTCTGCAGGTTTTATCAAGTTCATTGAGTTGTACGTTATGTACAGAACATTCGTATTTTTTTCAATAAAATGTTGCATACACTTTGAACCTATTTTCCATTCTGTGTGCTATGATGAATTACCTGGGAAAACACTGCACAGCACTGCTGGGATCTGACTGCATCAGCACTGGTGCATCCACCATGGGAGGGGAAGGTGCTGCAGAGGCGTTGGTGCTCCCTGAAAAATGGCACAGTGGAGGTGCCTGCTTAGTCCTTAAAACAGCCTGGTGCATGCCTCAGTGAGTAAAGGCTCCTGGGTCTGGACTTACTGGTGTAAGTCTTTCTCCATAGCTGCAGACTATGAAGCATACACAGACTGGTACCTTCGCAAGATTTGCAGCTGTCTGGGAAAGCAGTAATGCCATTCAAGGGACACGTGTGAGGTAAGCTCTTCGGGAGGGTTAGTAGTATGGGAAGAAAGGTGGGGATTGACACATTCTCTGAGCCGTGTGCTCCTGCTAGCTGCTGTACTGGTTCTGTCAGCCCTCTTGTGAAAGTACTCCTGGTTGGCTCACTGAAAACAGCATGACCAATTTGTCTGTGAAACAAATCTGAGAAACCATCCAGGGTTTTATCTCCAATAACATGAAAAAAGGTTTGTTATAAGAGTTACAGCTGAAGCCTAGGTTTGTTGTGTCTGTGAAGCAGGACACACCTGATGGAAGCAGGATAGTACTTGTGCATTCAAGATCCCTGCGAGACAACAGCCAGGAAACAATCCTAGGGTGTGCTCTCTACTGGTTTGGTTCGTTGGTTTTGTTTTTTTACGAAAGTATTTTTTTATTTTGAAAAGGAAAATTCACTTCACTTACATTTTAAAACCAATGGAAAGAATAAATCTTGCTTTGTGCTATTTGTAGAGAGATCATATATATATCTTCAGAGAACTACATAGTAGTATGCAAGTACACAGTATTAATAATAGTTAATGGTTATTTGCAAGCATTCTTTTATAGGAGTAAGAAAAAGTTTATGAAAAATTTCTTATTTTTCAGACTTTTGTAGGTTTAAGTATGAGATACTTTCTTTTACCAAATATAAACTTCTATTATAAACATGCTGAGAAATACATGCACTTATTCCCTATGAAATTTTATGCTTTTGGATTTCAGTGTCATCTATTACCTGACCCAAGTAAGCTGGCTGTATTATGTTTTAACGTCAGATCTACCAAGTGAATATCCTCACAGGTACATTTGGTAAGGTTTTCAGAGGCAATTCTATACAATGTGGATTTTAAAAATACCCTAATTCAGCATTGTGTGGACCCGAAGGATTTAATAGGCTCTAATTAATTAAAACATCTCTATATGCAGAACGGGTCAAAGTAAGTTCCTCTGAGGCTTGGTTTCAATCAAAGTGCAGAGTCTGGGGCTGCATGCCAGTGAAAACTGGGAGTAGCATGGAAAAGGTCTGTAAGAAAAAAGTCAATGTAAAAGGGTAATTTCTAGTTGAGTCAGCTTCTGTGAGGATAGCCAAATGGCCATCTTCCATTCCTGTCCGTACTCTAAAGACTTTTTTGGGTAAGGAGGTGAGAACATTGCAATTAAAACACAAGATGACAAAGTTGATTTAAGCTCTTTGTATACAGGTATATAGAATTACACTTAAAACTTCTACGGTATAATTTTGATAATTAGTGAGTCATTAAAAAACTCCTTCTGTCGCACAGAGATGTCACTGTGGTTCGCCTCTCACCTCCAGCAAACTTGTCATCTCGCTCTCCTGCAGCACAGGGCTGCGGTGCGCCCCGGGAGGAGAGGGTGCAGCGCTGACCGAGCCCAGCAGGGGGCGCTCGGCCGCCTTCCGTGGCTCTCCGTGGGCCAGACATGAGTGCCGAGGGGTTCCCGTCCCGCTGCTCATCCTCGCGGTCCTGCCAGGGGGTCCTCCGTACGCTGATGGGAAACCAAACGGGTTAAATCAAAATATTTGCACTTAAACAATACATCCTCCTCCCCTGTCCCCATTTCTCAGTTTCTCATCTGCGGTGATGTTTGCTTCCTCAGTAGTTCCCTTGGGAAGGGAAAATCCACCTTGTGCTGTGCTCGGAAGGTCCAAAGGGCTCATTCGTTCTGGAGCAATGATCCCCTTGCACAGTCACCACGCCAGGTCTGTGGCAGATGCTGCCCACACACACAGCACTGCTTTCTCCTGGGGACAGGTACACCCTCACTCCGGCTTTGCCCGTGTCAGCCAGCAGCAGTCAGAACCGCAGCACAGTCCAGCAGGTGATGGCTTTGTGAAGAAAATGTCCCACTGTAGACACACTCTATGAGCCAAGCTCAGTCAGCTCTTTGAACAGAATGCACCCTGCTAGTGGACACCTGAGTGAAATCAAGTCTACGGTTGACAACTTCTGTCCAACATTATCTCTACACCCTAAGGCCACATCTCTTCCTCCAGCTGGGGGAGGCGCCTGCCAGTCAGGCAGCTGCTGTTTGCTCCTGGCAGGGCTGATGGTCATCTCTTCTGTCAGTTCCTGAAGCAAGCCTGTCCTAGTGCTTCAGGAAGTGCTAGGCAGCCAGTGTGCTTACTATGTGTGACGGGTGAAGTCTGAGCTGAGTGAAAGGCTGAGCAAAAAGGACAATTTCAAAAGCAAAGGAGTACCTGGCTAGTGCTGAGTGGCAATGGAAAGGGTCCCTAACTGGTCTCTGCACAGGGCTCTGTCTGAGAGTCTATTTCATGTGTCTGCACCATCTCATGTGACTCCCAAGATAGTTGTCGGTACTTGACACCAGGAGCTCTGCGGCTCTCCAGCTTGCGATGATTTCTGCTGTTCCCTGGCAATGTCAGTAATACAGCTGTCACTACTGAAACAGAAATGTAGCAAGATATGTCCATGACCCATAGAGATGGCATTGCTAATGGGTT